TCCACTCCGCCCCACCCCGACCACAGCCCTCGATCACAACTTTTCGGGGCGGCGCCTGCACCCTGCCTCCCGCGACACGAGACACTGCCAGCGTGCCGAAGAGCAGCAGCAGCAATGCAGTCGGCAGCTGTCTCCCCCTCCCGCCACAGGCGCCGCGCTCGACTGGTCCGACTTCACGGCGGCGGACCTGACCAACGCCTCGCTGCTCGGCGCCTCGGCCAAGCAGGCCCTCCTCCGCTTCGCCACCCTCTCCGGCGCTTCCCTCGTGTACGCGACTCTCTCGCGCGCCTCGCTGCACGACGCGACGCTGGAGCGGGCCTACTTGCAGCACGCGGCCGCGGACGGCGCCGACTTCACGCGGGCGAACCTGCGAGGCGCGCGGCTCAACGGAGCGCGGCTGCGAGGCGCCCGCTTCGACCGCTCCGACGTGAGCGGCGCCTCGTTCAAGGACGCCGACCTGACCGGCGCAACCTTTCACGGCGCTACTGGCCACAAGACGGCCGACTTCACGGGGGCAATCGGCTGGGCGGAGGCGGCGCTGCTGCCTCTGCCGCGCGCCATCGAGGGCCGCTGTAGCGGCGCGCCCTTCGGCGTGGTCGACTACTCCGACTGCGACCTGCGCAGCCTCGTCCTGACCAACGCCGACATCGGAAAGTCGGACCTGTCTGGCGCAGACATGACTGGCGTCCTGGCGGTGCAAGTCAAGATCTACGAGTCGACTGCGCGCTCGCTCACCGCGATCAACGTCGATTTCACGCGCGCCGACTCGCAGCGCGTCGACTTCACCGCCTCACAGTTTATGCGGAGCGACCTGACAGACGCCGACTTCACCGAGGCGACGCTCGAAGAGGTGGACTTCTCGCAGGCGGTGCTCGAGCGCGTCAAGATTACCAGCGCGCGCATGTCTAGCGCCGTGCTCATGGACGTACGGATGAAGGAGGCGAACGGGCTGCACCTCATCGCCGACGGCGCCAACTTCCTGCGCGCCGACCTGCGGCGGGCGGAGTTTCCGCAGGCCAGCTTCCGCGGCGCGTCGTTTGTGCGCGCGGACCTGACGGGCGCCACCTTCACGGACGCCGACGTCACGGGCGCGACCTTCCAGCACGCGGCGGGGCTGGACACGGTGCAGTGGCAGAACTGCAAGGGGATGGACTCGGCAGGCATCGGGCACCTGCGGCCCGTCTAAGGCGTATGTAAGGGAGGAGTGTGGGGGGTGAGTAATGTTTCGATGCACTCTCCTTGATCGATGCACTCCTTTGCTGCGCAAGGGTACCGTTCGCTGCCCTCTGAAAGCTCTCTGTGTACACTCTCAGATCCAGAACTGAGAATACACATATTACTAAATTTATTACACCCCATCGAGCGGAGCTCGGGGTCTCATTTTATTCGTCCGCGCGCTCAAAAGCAACTCTCCACGTGTCACAGTGCGATGCACGAACGGAGCGAGGTGTCAGCCATGAATTCCTATGCAACGGGGCCTCAAATCCTCAATTGGGCTGACTACTTCGTATTTGCACTTTGTGGAGGGTCTAGTTTTGCCTGCCGGAGGGACAAAGAGCTTCTGACTTTCGTTGAGTTCGTCGAGGTGGTGGGTGTTCGCCCCCACAAAGGGGAGTGGATTCCCGTATCCCGAGCGGATCCTGAGCGGAGTTAGTTGCGGACGTCGGTTCGAACTCACCCTGCCTGTGGGTGTGGGTGGGGTGCATGCATGAATGAATGAGTGAGTGAGGTTGCCCGTCGTTCGTATAATAACGTACAGTGGCCAGGGGCGGGGCTTGCATTTTTGCCGTCGCCAGTCGCCCCCCCAAACGCTACACCTACAGCGCGGGGGCGGCGGCGGCGGCGGGGGCGGCGGCGGCGGCGCGACGGGGTGGGTGGGGTGTGGGGAGGTGCTGCTGTGTGCGCTGCGCGTGCGCGCACCGCACACCATACTCGAGTACGGCGGGAAACAGACGGCGAGGGGGGCGCGGCGGCAGTGGCGGCAGAGCGCGCGCGCGCGGCGCGCGCGACGGAGGGGCGGAGCAGCGACCGCGCGCGCGGTCGCTGCTCCGTCTGTCCCGGAGCGCCGTCTGCGCGGGGTGCGCGTCAGGAGAGGGGGGACGGGGGAAGGGAGCAGCCGGGCGACGAGAGGTAGGAGGTGCTCGCCGGCGAGCGCTCCCGCGCCTGCGGAGGGGCAAGGCCTGAGGGCGGGCGGGCGGGCGGGCGGGCGCGGGGGGGGGGGGGGGGGGGAAAAAAGGTTGGCCCCCCCCCCACCAAAGACACCGGCCGCGGCTCGACTTCACGCGCCGGCTCGGAAGAGGGGCTGTCGGCGGCGCAGCAGAGCGGCACGCCTCGGCGCTCGAGCCGCCGACAGCCCCACCTCCTCGACGTGACGGCCGCTCCCGGAGCCAGCCGGTGCGCGCCCGACCCACGCCCCCTCTCGCACCCCTCCGACCCCCCCTGCGCGGCGCACCTATCCGCTGTGCGCCGGCTCGAGCGCCTATCGCCAAATCGCGACGTTTGAGCGCAGCGCACGCGTCCCACACGTCACGCGCGCGCAGGAGAGCGTGCGGCACAGCTGTAGCGTGTACTCGCCGAGGGCATCGCGCCGAAAACCCCGCGCATTCCGCCCCAGCAGAGGCTGCAGCCTCTGCACAAGCTACACCACTGTAAGAATGGTGAGTACTTGGGGTTGAGTGGGCTTGCTTGCTCCCTAAGCCGGGAGCAAAAATGCAAGAATTTCTCTCTTTGCGGCTTTAACCCTAGTGGGTGGATAACCTGTCAGACAGGCGGTCTCGCGGAATCTCGCGTTGACACAACCGCGGTGCGCGCCCTGTAGGTCGCCAGACCAAACCGCGCCGGCCTGGCCATGCCCGCATAGTGGACATTGACGGGTCCGGTCGGTTCCGCGCACGCTCATCGCCCGGATCGGCTGCGCCGCGCTGCTCTCGACGGCCTCTCGAGCGGGCGCAGCGCACACGCGGCACGGCGAAGGAGGGCGCGATACTCCACCGGTTCTTCGGCCGTCTGCCTCGGCGCACGACCCGCGGGGCACGTGCGCGCCTCGAGAAGCTCCGCCGCCCCGCCCGGTGCTGCCCACCCGCCTTCGGTGGCACCCGCCGACGCGCAGGCGCTCGCGCCGGGTGCGGCTCCTCGGCGACGTCGAGCGTGGTGCCCGACGGCTCAGGAGCCTTCTACCATCAACCACTACCACGGCCGCCACCGTCGGCGCCTTCGCTCGAGCTCTCCGAGGCCGCGTTCTGACCTCGTGCCGCGGCTGTCGTCGCTGCAGCAGCGACGAGGGCCGCGGCAAGGGGTGCAGCGGCGACGGGCGGGGCGGAGAGGCGCGGCCAGCTACCGGGCTGTTGCCCCCGCCTACCGCGTCGGGCCCCTGCACCCGGAGGCGGCTTGCGGCAGCCTTCCCGTGTCTCCGTGCGACCCGATGGGGTAGCCGGCCAAAACGCGCGCGTCTGTGAGATTTCCGGACTTTGAGTGTGCACCGCGGGAAATATCAAAGTGAGAGTGTACCAAAGTTAGTAGGTCATTTTGAAGGGTTGGTATAGGCCTTTCACTGGTGGGTAGCCCGGGCGTCGCGCGGTACGCGCCGGGCCGTCAGCGCCTTTCGAAAACAGCGACACTATCCACCTACTAGGGTTAAAACGGAAAAGAACTAACGTTTCATCGTCGAATTTGCCCGAGTGGTAGAATACAACGTTGGCATTCGATAAAAGTTGGCCGAATGGTGTGGGGGGAAAACCAAAGCGAAAGGTTGGCTCCAAGAGCTAAAGGTCAACATCCTCTCCGGCTACGACAATGTGAACGTGATCTGTTTATTAATATTATTAATTAATGGTTTTTGGGGGGACGACACTGCCTCGGCAGCGTGCACCTCGATCCTGTACCGTGTTTGTTATGACCCCCCCCGATGAACACACCAGTGAGGGAGGGCGAGACGATCGAGGGGTCCCGTACCACGCGGAATCGGCCCTATCCAGTGCTCAGTGCTCAGTTTTTGCACGGCTGAGCCCCCCCTCCCTTCCCCGCGCCCATTCCCTGCCCTCTCCCGCCGCGCGCCCCGTCCGAGCCCTCTGCTCTCCGCTCTTGCACAACAGGAATTTTGACAATTAATCAGATGGAAGCAGGAAGCTTCCATCCCGGCCGTGGTTCGAACCCACACGAGCCGAGGGGTGAAGGGGAGGACGCGTGGTGGCGCTGGCCTGAGGTCTGAAGCTCACCCATTGAGGAAGTGAGAGGCGACTGCTCGACCCACCCCGGATCCTGCTGAACAAGCTCCTCTTGTAGCTCGATCGGTCACACCGCCATCACCGCCGACGTCTCACACAGTGAGACGATGGAGAGGGGGGACGACACTGCTTCTGCAGCGTGCCGCACCTCGATCCTGTCTGTACCGTGTTTGTTATGTCTTATGACCCCCCCCCCACCCAATGAACACACCAGTGAGGGAGGGCGAGACGATCGAGGGGTCCCGTACCATGCGGAATCGACCCTATCCAGTGCTCAAGTGCTCAAGCACACAACGGAGACGGAAAAGAAGTTGCCCGGGCTCGTACCCGGTACAAAGAACCCATCCCACGGCACGGACTTCCTGTTCGAGCGGATCATCGCCCATGGGCCCATGCCAGCCAATGATTACCTGCCAAGCAATCTGCACAATCAAACAGACGTCTCAGGCACAATCGACAACGAGGTCGTCCTGCTTGTCATTCTTGCTTCCACTGCCTTGGCTGCCGTTCTGATGAGTGTCATCTGCTATCTGCGGTCGGTGAGAGGGCGGCAGCATCGACGGCAACGCGAACAGCAATCATCTACCGGCGTGCAAGTATGCAGCCGATTTCCTCCGCGCGTCTGCGAGTCAGGTCAAGGGCCGCCACAAGGCTCGGGCAGCGGGTCAGAGCGGCCGCCACCGTCGAGCCTAGTACCTGCTTTCCTACCTACACTCATGCCAGCCTGCTGGTGGTCAGAGATTAGATTCTCCTTGCCCTATTGAGAGACGGGGTCTACACTTAGTTCACGGCGTCATACTGGTTGCTGCGTCGGTCCCCGGAATCCCCGCACCCCAGCGACCCGCGTATGCGTCTGATCTCCCGGAGGCCGGAGGTCTCCCGTCTCTGCTCACAACTGTGCTCTCTCCTACGTCCTACGGCTTTAGTCCTACGGTGGAACGCCGCCTTTCCGCAATCCACTTATCCAGAAAAAAGAGTACAGTCGATTATGCAAATACGTGCGCCACGAGAGGAGAGACAATGGGAGTACGTAAGTGTTAGAGTACCACAGGCACACACACGGGGCGGCGGTGCATCCGGACCTCAGCCGGGGCGCTCACTTGCGGAGCGACTCATACGCCTCGCGGATCTTGAAGGCGCAGATGGACTGGAAGAGGCCGGTGCCGTTCTCCGAGCCGGGCGCGTCCTTCATCTTGATCATTTGCTCGGTCAGCTCGCCGTAGAATTTGGTGCCGGTCGCCGAGATGGCAGACTCGACGTACACCAGCTCGTCCAGCACGTCCACCTTGCCGTCCATCTCGAGCACCGAGACGGGCGCGCCGAACCACTCGTCGTCGTACGACTTGATGACCACGCCGGGCGGCGAGGTGGTCAGCTTGTCGCCGTTTGGCACCCAGGTGAGCTCGGAGCCCTCGTCGAAGAGGTAGGGCGTCTCGGCGCAGGTGACGCTCTTCTTCTGGATGTACTTGACCTTCAGGAACTTGCCCGTCGGGTCCTCGATCAGGTCCGAAGGCAGGACCTGCGCGCGGGCGGGCGGCGCGATCGGAGCGCGAGCGTGCGACGCCATGAGCGGCGGCTGCGTGGCGGCTGCGTGGCGGCGACTGCGGCGGCGCGAAGGCGGCAGCAGCGGCGGGCGGTCAAGGCGGCGATCGCCTGGATGATGATGTCGGCCTTGGCCTTCTGCGGCTCGACGTACGCGGCGAAGTCGGGCTTGCGGCCGTCGATGGCCGCCTGCACCTCCTCGGGCGTGGCGCCGCGCTCGGCGATGTCGCGCTGCGCCTTCCAGGCGAACTTGACGTCGTCCTGCGCCGCGTGGGGGGAGGAGGTGGGGGTCGGCCGCGGGTGCGGGTGTGTCGGGCGTGCCGTGACGTGTGCACTGGCGTCTCGGGGGTGAGGCGAGCGTGTCGGAGAGTGGGCCTCGTCTTGACTGGCGAGGCGGGACGGCCACGAGGCGGGACGGCCCTGGCCGGCTGTGCGGAGACGCGTCTGGTGGGTGTCTGGGAGAGCGTCTGCGGAGGCTCTCTCACCGTGATGTCGAGGTAGATGGTCAGGTCGAGCGCCTCGTTGACGCGCTCGTCGTGCATCGGGTGGAGACCCTCGAAGATGACGATGGGCGTCGGCTGCACCTGTGAGAAGGAGAGAGAGAGCCGGTCGAGAGTCACTCTGGAGGGCCAGTCCTGCAGGTCGAGCGGTGTGCGTGCGTGTGCGTGCGTGTGCGTGCGTGTGCGTGCGTGTGCGTGCGTGCGTGCGTGCGTGCGTGTGGCAGTGTCTGCGCTGCGCAGAGGCGGTGCCGCAAGACGGCGTCGAAAGCGAGGTGGCGCGCGCACCGGCTCGTCGGGGTCGAGCTCGCCGGTGATGTGGTTGTAGATGGGCTTCTCCACGGCCTTGCCGGCCTTGAGGTCGGTCACGTCCGCCGCCATCTTGTCCCAGTTCTGGCACGCCTCGTGCAGCGCAGTGATGCCGTCGGGCCACTCCGGGTTGGACTTGCGGCCGGTGCGGTCCCACTTGTGGTAGTCGTCCAGGCAGATGACGGTGGTCATGTCAGAGACCAGCGTGTTGGTCTCGCGGCCAATGTCGTTGAGCTTGCACTCCCCGCCAAAGATGCCAGTCACGCGGCGCATGAACGTGGACTTGCCGCAGCCCGAGTCGGCAGCCAGGCCGATGACGACCGGGTTGGAGGCGTCCATCGAGACGGCGGAGCGGGACGGCGCCACGCGGGGGGCGGCCGCGAGGCCCGGGGCCCACGACGACGCGGTGATCTGGGTGAAGGCGAGCATGGCAAAAGGCCGAGGCGAATCGGTCAGCGAGCAGACGAGAGAGATCGGAGGTTCGGCCAGAATCTCAGGTCAAAAGAATGCCAGCGCCGATGCTACGCTGTCCCCATCCCTCCCTTGGGTTGTCTGTTTTCTTTCTTTCTTTTTTTCCTCCTCCCCATCCCTCGTTTGGGTTTGTCTGTTTTCTTTCTTTTCTTTTCGCATTTCGGGGCCCTTGCGAAGGACCAAGAGACGGCCAGAGCGAGCACTGAGGACTGAGCGGAGAGTTGTACACGCGCGGACGATGGACAACGAAGAGGCTTGTAGATAGGAAAGGTCACACACAGACGATACTGCTTACAGGTAGATAGGTAGGTAGGTAGGTGGTACCTCACACGGTCTAGAGAGAGAGATTTTTATTAACCAACAAGAAATCTCTCTTCCCACGGTCTACTGCAAAGAAAGACAAGGAGGGCCCACAGCACACATACCAAGAAACCGGTGCAACTAACGATGCCGACTCTTCGGATGATCACGGGAGCAGAGAGACCAACAAGCAACATTTCAACAAAACAGCGGATACCGTCGAGAACAAATTTCCACAGACAGTTTGGAGGATTGGAGCAGACCACAGCTTTAACAACACAAAGAACCACAAAGATCGCACGGGCGGGGACCTGTTCCTTTTTACCCATATCCTAGTAGAGGTGTGCGTTTTAAGTATTTTTTGTTCAGTTTGTAACGTCTCCCCCTTCGGGGGCGTGACACACACACACCCGACCATGTCCACGCCAGACTTAGAGGCCGCGCCATCCGCTGACCCGGGGGAGTACGCACGCCTGCTCAAGGAGCGGGTGGCGCCCGTGCTGTCGGAGGGGCTCCTCCTCGCGCTGCGCGACCGACCGACCGACCCGCCCGCCTACCTCGCCGAGTTCCTGGCCAGCAAGGGCTCGGGCGTCTCGGCGCCCGCAGTAGTGGCGTAGCAATCGCGGTGATGGCGGTAGCATTCTGCAAATGCCGCGCCGCCGCGCCGTTTCAAAATGCAGCCTCAGGATGAGCCGCCGCGGCGTGTCAGGTGGCGGCAGCTCTGCACGAGCGGCAGCTCTCCGCCGAGGCCTCCTCGCTCCAGGCGGAGCTGGCGGCGCTGGACGCGCAGCTGCTCGACGCGCGCGCCGTCGCGGCGGCACGGCTTCAGGCCGATGCCGCCTCCGCCTCCTTTGAGCTGCTGCCCTCTGAGCTCGGGCGCAGGCTGGGAGAGCCGTCACATGCTGGTGGTGTGGACGATATGGCACATGCTGCGGCTTGCAGGCACGAGACGCGCCGGGTTGAGAGGCTTGTGAGGAGCCTCAGGGCACGGATGGATGAGGTACGCTAAGGGATGGATGGCTGGATCTGGACCGGAGTGCCTGCGGGACAGTTGAGGGATGAGGGCTGTGTCGGCTCTCTCGGTTTTGCCGCCGTGTCGCACGTTTTGTCCACGCCCCCGCGCGCCCGTCCTCGTTACGAAGTCACGCGCGAACCATGTGTGTGGTGTGTGTACCGGTGCCGATCTTCGGGTCTTCGCTCGGGACCTCGACGTGTTTGGACAAGGCCCTAGAGTACTCTCCAGACAACCGGTGCTGAGACCGCCCCCGCAGTGCTGGCTCTCATGGGGGCATGGACGATACTATAGATCGCAAATCGCATGGCCGCATGGAGGGCGCATTCCACGTAGGCCAAAGTCCATGCTCATGGCGCCCTCGCCGCAATGTGACAAAGCGCAGCAAGGAATCTCGCTGCCGCGTGCAGGACTTAGGGTGGCGCGCCGAGATTCTCCTGCCACTTGAGCGAGTAGCAGCCCGGCTTGCCGGAGAGGCCCCAGTTTTTGTGCTTCTTGATCTCCTCCATCTTCTTAGCCTCCTCCTGCATGATGGCCCAGCTAGCGTCGGGGCGGTTTGGCACCTTGTAGCCACGGGACTCGCCCGGGAAGCAGCCGTTCTCGTCCGACATGGCACCATCGAGGTTGCGCTCGAATGGGTTGAAGTTGTCGTAGTCCTTGGGCTTCTCCGGGTCCCACGCCATGAAGACGGCCTCCTTGGCCTCGATGCCCCAGATGCCTCCGAAGGCCGAGATGTCCGCCATCTGCGGCGACACGGCGCGCTGCACCTGCGGAGCGCGCGCAAAGAGGGCGTCAGGCTGCGGTGGCGGCGGCGGTGAATGCGGTATACGCATATGTACGTCCCGAACCCATACTGTGACCTGGTAGCATATGTCGGCCATCTGCGGCGACACCGCGCGCTGCACCCCAGGCGCCACGAGGCGTCAGGCGGCGCGGCTGCGGTGAATGTGCATTTGGCGTGGCGCGCCTGGACGGCCGGGCGCGTCGCGGTGGGCGCGTAGGCTGGCGACGCCGAGAAGAGGGCGAGCATGCTTGTCGAGGTACTTTTGGACGGGCAGAGAAGGTGGAAGAACTTGTGGCGCAACCTCGACACCTTGCAACGACTTTAATTAATTTCGAGCCACCGCTGGGAAGCCGCACCAGCGACTTCTCTTTTTTGCGGAGGGGGAGGGGGAAAGAAATCGCGGTGATTGAGAGAGGTTTCCTGGACTAGTTTGTTTCCCCTTGACTTCGGAGCGAGAGAGATTTTTTTACTTTCAGTGGATTCGGCTATCATGAGTGTGCGGATCCGATCGGCGGCGTTCAATTCTTTTTGTGCTGCTATCTGCGGTGCCGGCGGCGGCCTGCATGCTGAGGGTCGGCCCGAGGGCCGAGCGAGGCGGATCACCTCAGGCTCAGCGGCCCGCACTGCTCCGCTGCGGCACCGCCGCTCCCGTGCCACGCGCTTGTTATTCGAGAGAAATCGATACACGGGATCTACACAGGGAGCTGGGAGGGCTGGGCGGCGGAGGTGGCGAGGGCCGAGGAGCTCTACCTACGAGGAGCTGCGCGAGCGCGCGCCCCAGCACTGCCGCCGTGGCGGCAAGTGGGCGCGCGAGAAGTTCGTGATGGCGGTGCAGGGAGAGTTCCCGCGCGCGCGAGGGGCAGGCGTTCCCAAGGGGACGATCCTGTGCCTCGGCAGGAGGGTGCTCGACGCGCACGATGAGCAGGACGACGCGGAGGGTGGGCGCCGGGATTGGGAAGAGGACCCGCTCGGGTTCGACACCAACCCGGGGCTGCTCCGCGCCATGCATGTGCATGGCGTTCGTTCGAGTGAACGCCGTGCAGGCAGCCCGTGCCTTTTGGTGTACCCCGTTTGTACAGTCTGTTGCGGGCACTAAGAAAACAGGATCCCGCGGCACGCCGCCGTTTCTAAGCCTTTCCACCCACCCCACCCACCCCACGCCGTGGTTTCTTAGCTTCGGCCGGCACCCCAGGTCAGCCGGGATCTAGGAATTTTTAGGTAAAATGACAATAAGGAAGCGCTGGACCGATGCGCCAGTCAGCAGTCTTGGGATGACAGGAAGACGCACACACCTCCATCCACACCGCCCAGAACACCGACCGCAGACTTGGGCAAAATGACAAGTGCGCGCGCCGCAGGCGAAGAGAAAATTTGAGCGGGGCTCCTGTTCACACTCGTGTGTGGGCCCTTTCTTGGGGCCGCGCCTGCGGCGCGCCGTGGTTTCTTAGATGTTCGCGGAAATTGCTTGGTAGGGTTTCTTAATGGGACGCTTTCTTAATGCCCGCAACAGACTGTACCGCGTCCTGTGCCCCCGAGTTCATTTTAAATACACAGGCATGGCCGCCTGCCTTTACGAGCTGCCTCCGTCTGAACCACACGTGTCCCTCCATTCACACTCTCCCAGTCCTTCCTGGTCTAGTGCCCGTCTTCTCCGCCCGTCGTGCTGAGTTGGTCGCACCTTCGTGCTTTCTTCGTCCTTCAGACGTTTCACCTAGAGCAAGCAGGGCGGAACGCCCCTTGGTCCACCCGCCGCCCGGGTGGGGCTTGCACGTGGCAGCGACTCGACTGGTCGCGTCAGCCCCTTTGTGAAGCCTGACACGCTATCCACTGCTCAGGCCATGCCTGACACGCCCACCAAAGCCTTGGAGTATTCCGAAATTCGGGATCTCCTACATGGCGCTAAACAAGAAGCTGATGCAATGGTGACGGAATGCAGTTTCGACCGTGCCGCCGCCCTCGACGGGCTTGCGGCGAACCTGGCCACTCTTCTCGAGTGGAGCCGACTGCATCACAGCGATGGCATCGGTTTCTTCCTCATTACGAATTGCGCTGTCTACATAGACAACATTGCGCCCACTGTTTGCTGCACCCAACACGATGCGGTGCGCTGCGCGCGCTACGAGCTGAAGCTGCTCAAGACGCGTGCCTTTGCCGACTTGCTCGAGTTCGTCGCCGATGACAGTCATTCACCCACCGCCGATGATTTTGCGCAGGTCGGAACTGTCCACAAGACGGTCTCTGAGAGACAGGCTGCGATTGTGGCCGAGATCGTCGTCTCCCAACGCGTCATCAAGCGGATCGACAACCTTGTCACCGAGGCGCTTCTCAAGGCCTTCTTTTCCGACGACGCACTGCGGGCCATCTACCGCGAGAAGGCCGACAAGGTCAGTGGCGCTGGTGGCACTTCCGTTGCCCTTTTGGCTGCAATCCGCTCCGACATTGCTGGAGTTCGGCCGAAGCTCCAGAGGATCGTCCTCGAGACTGTCGGCATCAAGCCTTTTCTAGCTGCTGGTTTTGGCACTCAGAGTGGACGGGTCCACTCCGACTTTCGGCGGCGTTACCTCCGCCTCACCCGGGCCAACGATTGGCTCGAGGACGAGCGGCTCAATTCCACACAGCTTACTGCGCTCCTCCACAAGTTCCTCTCCGAGCTGACCAGTGCGTCTTTCCGATCCGACGTCGACGCCGCGCTGAACGCCATCGTCTGCGCGATGCGCAGCGCCGTCATCACGGACATGGATGAGGCCGCGGTTCTTGAGGGGGTCGGCAACGCCAATGAGGATGCCGACACCGCTGATTCCGAGTGCCGGTCCCTGCTCAGCGCCATCGTTGAGGTCTGCCGCCGGTGCGATCGGGACGGCATCACGCTTTGCGCTAATGCCCGGGGCGCTGGCCCCGTCGCGCGCGCCGCCGCCGCCGCTAGCACTGGCCGTGGGGCCGACAGGGCGAGCTCTCCGACATCCTCAACATCCAGGTCACCAGGCGCCACGACGGCTCAGTCCACGTGTCGCAGGAGCAGTATGCCCGCCGGTTCGTGGAGCAGTTCCGCGAGAAGCTCATCAATCGCCTACGCGGACCACAACCTGTCCGACACGCCAACATGCCGCCGTACACGCCCCAGCTTGCCGAAAGGGTCCTTGCCGCTTGCGACGATGCTTCCGAACGCGACCCCGCCGACGTCCACCTCAGCCAGTGCTTCTGCGGCGTCGCCAGCTACCTCGTCACCAACACGCGCTGCGACGGGACGCTCGCTTTCGGCCTCCTCTGCCGGTGCATGGCCAAGCCCACCGACGATGTTTTTGAGGAGATGTTCTGCTTCCTCGAGTACTTCCGCCACCATCCCCACATCGGCCTCACCTACGAGCCGGGCTGGGATGGCGAGCGGGAGGGCGACGACCTCGTCGCCATGAGCGACGCCAGTTGGGAGACGCGCCGGTCCACATCCGGGTGGATCGTCCTCATGTGGCAGGCCACCGTACACTGGCGCAGCGTCCAACAGCCCTCCATTGCGCTCTCCTCTTGCCAGTCCGAGATCATGGCCGCTTCTGAGGCTACCAAGGACGTCCTGAGCTACCGTCGCCTTAAGGCCGAGCTCGAGTCGTACGTCAAGGACGGCGAGATCGTCACCCCTCCCGAGGCCCCGCCCACCAAGCAGTACTGTGACAACCAGGCCGCCATTGCCTCAGCCTACAACCCCGAGAACCACGGCAGGCTCAAGCACGTCGAGCGGCGCCACTTCTTCATCCGCGAGGCCATCGAGGAAGCCAAGATCTGTGTTCCTTTCGTCCGCAGCGACGAGAACCTTGCCGACTTCTTCACGAAGCCGCTCAAACCCCAGCGCTTCTTCGAGCTGCGGGACAAGATCATGAATGTCAAGGAGCCTTCCTCCCAGTCGGATGGGAAGTGAATCTCCGTCACCGATCCGTCACCGAGACGGAGCGCGGGCGCCGGCCGCGGCGCGAACAGTGCCGCCCCGCCCCCACCCGCGAGAGCCATAGACTCTCCAGTGCATGTCATCCAGTCCATGCCCCGTCGAGAGGGACACTCTCCTCTCTATCCATGTGAGTGACTCGACTACGTCGAGGGGGGGGACGTCTGAACCACACGTGTCCCTCCATTCACACTCTCCCAGTCCTTCCTGGTCTAGTGCCCGTCTTCTCCGCCCGTCGTGCTGAGTTGGTCGCACCTTCGTGCTTTCTTCGTCCTTCAGACGTTTCACCTAGAGCAAGCAGGGCGGAACGCCCCTTGGTCCACCCGCCGCCCGGGTGGGGCTTGCACGGCCTCGGCCGCTGATCGTGCAACGAGACGAGTTTGAAAACTCGAAAACAAGAGAGAATAAAAAAACTGCCGCAGGCGGCGCGGCGCGCGAGGACAACATCGACGACGAGTGACTGTGGCCGGCGCTGACCCACGAGCCAAGAGATGGTCGGGACTCTACAGAGCCAGGCAGGCATCGCGCCGGCATGGGATCGCGCCGACTCTCCGTTGGGCTCCGGCAGCCCGGCCGAGGGCGAGGTACTGGATGCCTCCAACCACCGTCAGAAAGCCGCCCTCCGCCTCGTGCTGGAGCGCCGTCACCGCCAGCTGCCGCGGCATCACGCCACCGGGCTCTCGCAGCACCGCGCCACGCCTTCGAGCTCAGTCGACGTGTCGTTCCTCGTGCAGTACTTTTGCGGGCGCGGCCGCACTGCACGACATGCGCGGCTCGCCAGCCGCTTCGTTCGCACGTTGCGCGAGAGCGCCGAAGCGAGCGGTGTCAGCCACGAGGTGCTCGTCAACGTGGACTCGCCGGACGTGCGCGACGGCGACCTGGCGGTGCTGGTGCCCGCAGTCGGCCCGTCCGGGCGCGTGCTCCTCGCGAGCAACGTCGGCGAGACTCGCGCGTACAACAACCTCGCCCGGATGGCGCGCGGCACGCACCTCGTGCTGCTCCAGGACGACATGCAGCTGCGGCCCGGGACGGGCGGCTGGCTGCGCCGCTCGCTCGGCCTCTTTGGGTCGCAGGCTGCGGCTCGGCGGCCGCTCGGGCTGCTCGGCTTCTCGGAGGGGGTCTGCTGCGTGGAGTGTCCGACGGCGACCCACCCGCACGAGGTCACGCGGCCACGCTGCGTCGAGCCGGGGACGGCGGAGCCTGCCGAGGCGGTGGCGTGCGCCACGATGGGGCCGATGATGCTGGCGCGAGGGCTCTTCCTCGCCCTCGGAGGCTTCAACGAGAGCCTCTCTGCGCGCGGCGCCCCGTCGACGCTCCTCGACTGCGAGCTGTCCGCGCGGGTCTGGCTCGCCGGGAGGGCGGTCTTCATCGCGCCGCCGCTGGTCAACCCGTCAGCCGCCGAGGCGCACGTCGCGTGGCGCGCGCCCGGCATCGCCGCCGCCGACGGCGTCCGCTGCGCGTGGGTGCGCTCAGCCTTTTACTCGGCGCGCGTGCTGCCGGCTCTCGCCGCCTCGGTGCGAGTGACAAACGCGCGCCAGCTCGACTGCTCCGCCGCCGCCGCGGCGAAGGACGCGACGGCCTCCGGAGGCTGCCCGCTCCCCACCGCGTGCAGTGCGCTACCCGCCTGCGCCGACTGCACCGGCCGCGGAGTCCGCCGCAGGAGAGATCGGCTCGCAAACGTGAACCGCCGCGCGCCGCCGAGATGCACCCCCGATGCAGCGCCTTCACCCCAGCCCCTGCTGTGGGCAGGTGTCCGCCGCGCTGCTGCCGCCCGCAGACCCGGCCCTCGCGGTGGACGTCTCCTTCCTGATGCAGTACTGGGCGGGCGGCCGCGACGGCGCTTCGAAGCCGCAGTCCGCCGCAGGGACCCTCCTCTCCCTCCTCGCGGCGGCGGCGGCGGCGGGCGTCTCCTCCGAGGTGCAGCAACGCCCAGCTGAGCAACGCCACCCCTCTCCCCCTCGCCCACCTCGCCCCTCCACGCCCCGCCCCGCCCCTCACCTCGCCCCTCGCCCCGCCCCGCCCCTCACCTCGCCCCTCGCCCCGCCCCGCCCCTCACCTCGCCCCTCGCCCCGCACCCGCGAGGTGCTCGTGAACGACGACTCCTCCGTCTCGTCGCACACTTCGCACACTTCGCTCTCGCGAGAGGCGGCCGTGGCCACCGACCGCCCTGCCGCCAAGGGCTCCGCTTCCCCCGCCAAGGGCGGGCCCGTCGGGGACGCGGCCCGGCTCATGCGCTCCGCCGGGCCGAACGGCGCGGTGCTCCTCTCGCCAAACGTGCACGAGCTGCGCGGGTACAACTCTCTCGCCCGGCTCGCGCGCGGCGCCGTCCTCATCTTTCTGCAAGACGACGACAGCCCTCCAGCGGCGAGGCCTCCGCACGGCCCGGCGTGGCTCGTGACGCCCCTGCAGCTGCTGCGGCGGCACGCGCGGGCGGGCTCCGTCTCGATCAAGGGCGAGGGCTAGCCGGGACACGGACGATCGCCGAGACGCCCCTCCCCCCCCCCCCCTCCGGCGTGGGTCTCTCCACACACGCGCCCCCGCCCACCCCGCTGCCGCGGCCAGGCGGCCTCTTCTTCGTGTCGGAGTACGACGAGCACGTGGTTGGCGTCCAGCGGATCGACGACCTCCCCGGCTGGTACCCGCGCTGCGCCGAGAGGGGCTCGCGCGCGCGCGTCGAGGCGGCGCGCTGCGTCGACGTCGGCCCGCTCTTTGTGCGGCGGAGCCAGTTCCTGCAGATCGGCGGCTTCAACGAGTCGGGCGTGCCTCGCGGCGAGCCGGGCTCGGTGCGTGTCGACTGCGAGATGGAGGCGCGGGAGGGGCTCCGAGGATGAGCTGCAGGGCACCTCCGTGACACGTCGTCCATCACACGTCCACCACACGCCCCGCAGGCGCGGATGGCGCTCGGGCTCGGGCTCGCGCCCCTCGCGCTCGGGCTCGCGCCTGCCGACCGCTGGGCGTACGGCCGCACGCACGTGGCGTGGGACCACCCGAAGATGGAAGAGGGGCACAAGTGGCGCATGCTCGACTACCGGCAGCGGTACGAGCTGCCCCGCTCGGCGTCGCGCCTCGCCATCGAGCGCGCCTGCCGAGACCTCAACGGGGAGTTCGACTGCCCCGTCGCGGAGATAGCGAGAAAGCCCGCCAATAAGCTGGATTGTGCCGTCGTGGAGGCCCCGGGCACGTGCGAGGTCTGAGAGGCGCTCTTTGCCCTTTGCGCTGCTTGGCCCTTGGGTATTCCGCGCACGTACCCCAATCTTGCATCTATGATCCTCCGGGCAAAAAATCACCCCGGGGCACCGCGATTGCCACACGCCCTCGCCCGCCACGCCACTAGCGAGTGTGTAGGAGAGAGTAAAGGCTAAACAGGGTAGGCTCCGCCTCACTGCATCTCGAACTGGATTCCACGAATTGATTTTCCTAGCGTCGTCAAAGTGAGCTGAAAGCTCGCTCGAAGAGCCGATGGTACCCGCCGACCGCCTCCCATCTCGCCGCTGCTCTGGCGGGGCGGCGGCGGGGCCTGGCGACGGCGCGCGGCGCATGTGCCGTGGCAACCCACCGGGCCGGCCGGCCGCGCAGGCGCCGACCGGCGATCGCCACCGCGCCCCGCCTCCGAACGCCGTTTCCGCTTGGCGTCCGAGGCGCTCGGCGTTCCCGCTGGCCGCCGGGGCCGGACCGGATCGGACGCTCCTTTTCTCGCCGTAGGCACGGCTGGCCGGCTGGAGCAGCGGAAAAACAAAAATCGGACCGGTCAATCCTCTCCGGCCAGCCTCGGGCTAATTAAAGCCGCAAAAAATCGGAAGTTTCCGGCGCCCCGGATCCCACCTCCCTGGCCCTCCACGCCCCGCGCGCGCGACCGTATCACCGCCGCAGTCGGCCTCCCCGCCCCGCGTGCTGTAGGAGCGGCGCCCACCCACCGGAGACGCCTTCTCCTAGACCGCCCGACCACCCCAACCCCTTCGGCAGGTGCCTCGCACGTATTTTGCGCGCGAGAGGCCTCCTTTGAGGTGGCGGCCGGCCGCCGCTTCTCGCGGTGAGGCGGCATGAGGGTGTCCCCCCGTCGCGTTTGACGGCAGGCCGGCCACGGCACCGGCTCTCTCGCGGCTCGAGGGCGGCAGGCGAGCCGCCCCCCCCTCCTCCCTCCCTCCGCCCCTTCCTCCCTTCCCCGCAGCGCTGCCCCCGGCACCATTTCCTCGTGCCCCGCTGCCGCCCCACCCGCCGCGCCGCCCGCCGCCGATGGCCCGGCCGCCACCGCCACCGTCGGCGGCCGCCTCCCGCCCACCCGCACCGCCGCCCCGGCCACTGCCACCCGCGCCGCCGCCTCGCCCAACGCCCCCGCCGGCCCACCCTCCCGCCCGTCGCCGCTGCCGCCGCGCCGCCGCTGCCGCCCTCCGGGCCGCCTCCGGCCCCGCCACCTGCCTCGCCGCCGCCCACGCGACTGGCCTCGCCGCCGCCACCGCCACCGCCCTCCCCACCGTCCTCCCCTCCGCTCTCACCGCCGCCGACGCGCCGCCACGCCGCCTCGGCCTCCGCCCTCGCCGAGCCGTCGCCACCGCCCTTCTCGCCGCCTCTGCCGCCCGTGCCGCCTTGGCTGCCGCCTATTCCGTGGCCCTCGCCACCGCCGCCGCCGTCGCCGCCGCCGCCGCCACCGCTACCGCCGCCTCCCGCCCCGCCACCCCCTCCGACACCGTCACCCCCCCTCCCTCCCACCATCCCGGCCGGCCTCCTCCGTTCTAGCCCCAACTACCACACACCACCACCGACCTCCCCGCGCCCCCACACGCCGGCCCCGCGCACCCACGCCACCACCATCGCCCACGTCGCCCTCCCGGCCCCCCACCCCGCGCCCCAGGCTCTTCATAGCTCCGCTCGGGGCGTCCTGGCGCCGCCTCCCCAACCGCTGCGGCCCACGCGGCCGCCGGGCGGCGCGACGGCGGCTACCGGCCGGCATAGCCCTTCCAGCGCCGGCTGGGGGCTGCGGCGGCGCGCGGCGCGCGGCGGGCAAGCTGCCTGCTGGCGGGCGGCGCTTCTAGTCGTGATTTTAGTGCCGCGTAGGTCGCCCTTCGGCCACTTCTCGGGCGTGCGGCCGCAGCGCGGCGAGAAGGCGGCGCGCTCGGCCCGCTGGCGGAGGTGAAGCCCCCCAGAGCGGGAGCTGGCGGGCCGGGGGCGTCGGGCGGGTGCGCGGCGGCACCCGTGCCACCGGGACGGGCCGTGGTGGCCCGTATGGCGGCCGTGAAGGGCCGTTTGGTGCGCCCCGGCGGCCTCCTGCACGCGGCGGCCGCCGGGGCTGGTTTGGACTGTGTTTGGGGGGGTGGAGGGGTCCGGTGGCCGGTGTGATGGTCGTTTATCACCCTCCTATCACCCACTTACCGCCCCCGGCCGTGGGGGCCTCTCCAGACGCCGCCATATATGATTTCAAAGGGTCCTGCCGACGCTCATCACAGTGCGGCGGAGGGGCCGGAGCCGGCGCCGCGGAGGACGAGGATGGCCGTGGCGGACCGGGACGAGCTCTGGGAGGTTCAGTGTCAGTGAGTATATTGTAGAGACTACCCATGTGCACAATATCTTGACTGAGAGCTAAGCCAGGGGAGGCGATGCCGGGGCCGTACAGCAGCTTGATGATGCTGCGCCGGCGTGCGTCCCGCCGGCCGCCGGGGCCGGTTTGGACTGTGTTTGGGGGAGGGGAGGGGTCCTATGGCCGGTGTGATGGTCGTTTATGGCCCTCCTATCACCCACTTACCACCCCCGGCCGTGGGGGCCTCACCGGACGCCGCCATTCATGATTTCAAAGGGTCCTGCCGTCGCTCAGTTCCAATCACAGTGGGGCGGAGCCTACCCTGAAGCCGTACCACCGGGGCCGTGAGACTTGCGTGAGACTACTGCGGGCGCCGAGACGCCCGAGCCCTTGCTGGCCAGGATGCAGGAACTCGGCGAGGCCGTAGGCGGGCGGGGCGTCGGTCGGTCGGTCGCCGGCAGCGCGACGGAGGAGCTCCCCTCTCCGTACTCCGACAGCAGCACAGCACCCTGGCGCCTGGGCGCCACCCCCTCCAGCTCCACCCGCTGCCGCTCCCCTTGAGCAGGCGTGCGTACTCCCCCCGGCGCGGGTCAGCGGATGGCGCGGCCTCTAAGTCTGGCGTGGACATGGTGTGTGGGTGTCACGCCCCCGAAGGGGGAGACGTTACAAACTGAACAAAACAACGGTCGTGGCAACTCTCTGGACGATTTGGTCTCTCTCTGCTCCCGTGATCATCCGTCTCATCGCGGCCTCATGGGGACAATGACTCATGCACAGTGCGCACCGGTTTCTTTAATTCTTCGCTTGAGATTCTGGCCGAACCTCAGCGAGATCCTCTCGTCTGCTCGCTGACCGATTCGCCTCGGCCTTTTGCCATGCTCGCCTTCACCCAGATCACCGCGTCGTCGTGGGCCCCGGGCCTCGCGGCCGCCCCCCGCGTGGCGCCGTCCCGCTCCGCCGTCTCGATGGACGCCTCCAACCCGGTCGTCATCGGCCTGGCTGCCGACTCGGGCTGCGGCAAGCGCGCGCGTGCGCCTCACGATGGCTCCGCTGGTATCCTGTTCACGGCCTGGGCGAGCTCCTCGTTGAAGTGATGGAAGATGAGCTCGATACGCGCCTACACGGTGCCGCACAAGCAAGGTGCACGGGGGATAGAGTTCGACGTGGGTCCTCTTCGCGGTCGCGCGCTCACCTGTCGGTCCCGCTCCTTGAAGCGTAGCCGCTGCGCGTCCGCGAGAGCTCGAAGCTGCCGGTGGTGAAGTGCCCTCCATAGGCGCAGAGCGCCCCTCCCTTCTTCCGCTTGGTTGCGAAGAAGAGGGGCAGCCCGCCGGCTGGCTGCTCTTTCTCCTGCGGGTTGATGAGGCTCGCGGCTTTGAGTCGATTCGTACCGTCGCCCAGCCTAAAAGCGGTCGACGCGGAGGTGAGGGTCGTAGCAGCCACTACTCGGCCCGGCAGCCCGTTCGCCCTCACCACCACTCGAAGAGCACGCTCTCGCTTTGCGGCAGGTCGTTCCACTGCTCGATGTTGAAGGTGAGCTGCGAGACAGCGCCGCCCTTCGCAGAGACGACGGGCACGCCGAAGCAGGCAAAGAGGCCCGGCAGGCTCAGCAGGTGCGCGTTGAGCTGCTCGCGGGTGCAGCCCTCGGAGCGGCGCAGCGCGCTAGCCTCCAGCTGCTCCTCGGCTGGCTCTGGCTGAGGTCAGGGTGACCCGCTGTCGGCTGGAAATGTCGGAACACACTCACACCATGTTAAAGCTCTCGGCGAGTCACCTCGAAAAGCCACACTGCAAAGCCACAGGTCCTCAGTGCGCGGCTGCAGCCACTGCTCGGGCTTGGCGCGCACCAGCGGTCGCATCTCCGCGCCCAGCCCGGTGCGAAGACCATGAACCGACCTCTCGACAGGGCCCGCCTCTCCAGGCACATCCACAAGAAGGCAGCCGGCCGGTGTGTGGCCGACGACGGCGCAGTAGATGGGCTCGCCATCGCGCCGCGCTATGAGCACCTCGCACCCGTGCGGCGGGAACTGGTCGAGGCTCGTGGGCAGGGCGGCAGCCGACTCACGGCGCTGCCGCTTGGCATCCGGAGCGCTGCTGCCAGATGCCCTCTCGGCGGAGAGGGTCGATGAAGATGAAGACGCCTCGGACGCAGCCAAAGTGCCGACAGGCTCGGGCTCATCCAGGCGAGCAGGGTGCCCACTCGCACCTTGCGCGTCGAGCGCCAACATCTTTTCAGAGCTTCCGCCAGACTCGAGAGCGTTGGAGCTACTGCCGCCGGCAGAAACAAGCACTTCGGAGCCACTGCCGCCGCAGCCGCGAGCAGACTCGGGCGCAGCAACCACAGGCTTTTGGTCCAAATGATCGATTTCTTCCAGCATCCGTCTGATGCGATCCTGCGCTGCAGCATCGCCAGCGAACGTACTGGCTAGCAGCTCCAGGCTGGCTCTGGCGCTGGTCTGAGCTTGCCGGCGGAGCGCATCGCGATCCATGGGGACGCGGCGGCCAAAGCGCTGCAGCCGCGGACGAGAGCCCTCGTCGCCGTGCTCGTACGACACAAGTCCCGCGAGATTGCGGCAAAAACGGGAGGCGCCTTAGCGACTCTGCAGAATCGGACTCCGGGGCAGATGGCGGCAAAAAGAATTATGCGTGCAACCTCAAAAAGAATTTGATGTTCTCGAGGCTCTCGGCACACTAACACCGTCCTCCCATCCCTCCCTTGGCTTGTCGCTTATTTATTTCTTTTACTAACCCTGCCACAATTCTCACTGGGCCGACGCGGCTCGCGGGCCACTGGAGCGCGCGCACACCCCCCGGGCACTTGTTAGTAGACTATCTCTTGTGAATCAGACGCCCTTGCCTTCGGGGGCAAGTGGGCGTGCTTTCACAGCCTCACATGTCTCACGAGAGAGTAATTCGTAACTGGCACTAACAACAGACAAAAAGAAATCGCGCAAATCACACCGCTGTAGAGGTCGCAATCCCGTTGGTACGCATCCCGACCGCCTGCGCCACGTGCTGTGACGGCCTCCGCCGCCGCGCCTCTATCGAGCGGCGCCCCCTGAGGAAGGCGACCACGTTTCTCAGCGATCCGGCGTCGTGCGGCGCGAACTCGGACCACTCCGCCGACGGCCCTCGCGCCGGCGTCGGCCGCGGCACGTCCGACCTCCGGAGCCAATCGATGGCCTCGACGGTAGTGACATTGTGCCTGTGCAGGGCGGTGAGGGAGCTAGGACTGGGAAGGGGGCGTCTGGGGTGTACTATCGATCGACATCCGCGCGCCAGATGCCGCGCAGCTGGTCTCGTAGCAGCACCGTCACCTGCGGGGCGTGGCGTGGGCATGTCCCGGCGCCGCTCTCTCGGGCCGCCGCGGGGCAGCGCCACACCCACACGACGAGGATCAGCTTGACTGTCGCGAAGAGGACCGCGAGGCGGACGAGGGCGACCGCGCCGCCCTCGCCGAGGGGCGGCAAGGCACTCGGCCAGTGCCGGACAAGGTCGGCGCCTAGGCGTGTGTGTGGTGGCCCTGCGTCGGAGGAGCGCGTGCGAGGTGCGGCCCGGCGTGTCTCGTCGCGTGCTGAGAAATCTCCTCGCGCCGTGGGATGGGACTGGGCGTCCGCTGTGTGGCGTGTCTAGGAGTCTGCGCGCCGAGCGTCGGCAGCGTGTCGATCAGCCCGGCGAGAGGCAGGCAGAGGACCGCCTCGGCACAGAGCAGGAAGGCGACGAAGGAGCGGTGGTTGGCCTCGCCGATGCAGCGCGCGAACCAGAGGCAGTCGTGGTCCATGCACGCGACGAGCGCGCCTGGCCAGTGTGGCAGCGCCTCCTCCCTCAGCAGACTCGCTCAGCAGCAGAGAGCGGGCGGTGGCGGGAGGAGGGCGGCGGGGAGGGGCGAGCGGCGCACCGCTCATCGGGCTGAAACGGGACCGCGGAGGGCGGCGCGCCTCGGAGCGCAGGCAGAAGGCTTCCGCGGCCTGCTGCAGGTCGCACGACTCGAGGGCGGACCAGTAGGCTCGCGCCTGAAGAGAGAGACCCGCGCCGTCAGCCAGGAGTTGGCTGCTGCTGAGTGTGTGAGAGAGACTGAAGGGCTAGCTGGGGTCGCCGTGTCCGCCGCGTCCACGTCACGCGAAGCCACGATGCCCGGCCCAGACAGCGCGACGCGAGCGTACAGAGACAGCATCGCCACGACCGAGCATGTCCAGCAGGCGGCGCAAGCGGGCAGCCGTCGCATCAGCACGCCCAGCACTGCGCTGTCCGCCGCGCACACGCCGCAGATGACGACGAACAGGCCAAGGGCCGCGCGCACGCCCGCCTTGCCTCGTTTCTCCCCTAGCGCCGCCCTCCTTCCCTCCTCGCGGAGGGAGGGGCGAGGCCGCCGGCAGCGGGAGTAGAGTCCCCACGCGGCGGCGGCGCACGCGGCTGCGGCGGCAAAGCGGAGGGGTACTGCGCACGCGACGCCAGCCAGCGGCCAGACGCTGCACGCGAGCAGCAGGTCCGCAGGGCGAGCCCTCGCACACCAGCAGCGCAGCGCCTCCCCGCCGCCGCCGCCCGGCTGCCGCCGCAGGTGCGACCGGCGCAGAAAGGCAAAGAGCTGCGTGTCCTGCTCCGAGGCGGGGCCCGACGCCCCGACCGCTGCCAGCTCGAGAAGAGCGCGCCTCGCTTCGGACACCTTGCCGCCGCTCGCCCGGGCGGCACAGTCAGCGGGCGTCTCGCCGGAGAGATTTTGCGCCTGCGAGTAGAGTGCGGCGTGTGAGAGGAGCAGGTGGTGCGCGAGGGCGGCGGGTCGCAGTGCCGCAGGGAGAGAGAGAGGGAGAGAGGGAGAGAGGGGGAGAGAGAGAGAGAGAGAGAGAGAGAGAGAGAGAGAGAGAGAGAGAGAGAGAGCGAGAGAGCGAGAGAGCGAGAGCGAGAGAGCGAGAGCGAGAGAGCGAGAGCGAGAGCGAGAGCGAGAGCGAGAGCGAGAGCGAGAGAGCGAGAGAGAGAGAGAGCGCGCGAGAGCGCGAGAGCGAGAGCGAGAGCGAGAGCGAGAGCGAGAGCGAGAGCGAGAGAGAGAGAGAGAGAGAGAGAGAGAGAGAGAGAGAGAGAGAGAGAGAGAGCAGCAGCAGCAGCAGCAGCACCTCGAGGAGAGGCTCTGCTGCAGAGCCGTGCAGCAGCAGCAGCCACACCTCGCGTGGGCCGCGGCAAAGGTGCAGAGGCGAATTGCCGACTGTGTCCACCGCACACACCTGCTCATCCAATCCCCATCGGCCAAGCAGGTACTTGAGCGTGGTCGCATCGCGCGCGGCGACGGCGAGGTGGACGAGCGTGCGGCCGGCGCCGTCACATGCGGTGAGGAGGGCCGCGTCGTGGCGCAGCAGAACGCCAAGCACGCCGCGCCGGCCGTGTGACACAGCGAGAGACAGCGCGTCGAGCCCGTCCTCCCGCGGTCGCCTCGGGTTGGCACCACTGTGGAGGCACGCCTCAGCTTGCGCGGCGTCGCCACGGAGCACGGCGGTGATCAGCTGGGAGTCGGGCGTGACCACTCGCGTGATGGTTGACCAACGTGATCAACAAGGCAAGCGAGGTTCTCGAGGTTCTCGAGGTGGATATCCTTTGTGGCCGCGTTGGGTAGCGAGGATTGAGAGAGAGAGAGAGAGAGAGAGAGAGAGCGCGGCTCTAACCGCCAATGGCCGTTATCCGTTAGTGCGGACGTCGCCGCGGCTCGCCTCTGCCGCGGCGGCTGCTGCGCGCACGCGGCGGCGCCGCTCTCTCGCGAGACGGCTGGCGACGCGGCTCGCCGCCGACGTACGGTGCGCTCGTCCGACGGTCCGCAGCGTGGCGTGCGCGGCGCTGAGCGCCGCTCTGCGAGCGCCTCTGCGCCTGCACTGCCTGTCTCTGTTGCTGGTGGTGGTGGTGGTGCTAGTGCTGCTCACAATCCTTCGACTTCTAGGATTGAGAGCGAGGCTGCTCTCAATCCTAGCGGTGTACAAAAGAAGATTCACCGTCACTGTCCAAGCCTCCTGGCTCCCACGCCTCGCGGGTTTTTTTTTCTGGCCGAGTCAACCCGATATGCTGGGGCGAGCCTCGGCGAGACTGCGTCAGCTGTTCCCACAGCAGGCTGGAAGTACCTCGCCAGGTCCAAGCCGAAAGTCTGCCCAGGTTAGTCAGATGACGATCCCGGCGTGAACACAACTAACTGACGGATCCGCTCCTGACAGTCGCACGCGCCGCGCGCGCGGCGCGTGCGACTGTCTTTGTTTGAAGTAAAAAGTCCGGCACCGCTCCGGGACGCACGCCAGCGAAACATCATCAAGCTCCTGTACGGCCCCGGCATCGCCTTCCCAGGCTTGGCTAGACTGAGAGATCTTGTGCACATGGTTGGTCTCTACAATATATACACTGACACTAAACCTCCCAGAGCTCGTCCCGGTCCGACACGCGTCACGGCCATCCTCGTCCTCCGGCGGGCCCCCGGCCGCGGCGCGGTGCGGCGGCGTCACAAATCCGACCACACACAGAGCACCGGGACGCGGTCGGGCGATCTGAGGCCCAACTAGGCGTATGCATTGCCTATCCAGCCAGGGCTATCACCTGGACCTATCAACAGGCGCCTGCGGCGCCGTGCTCAGGAGCTGCTGCTCCAACCTGTTCACACAAAAACACTACCCGGTACCCGGGTACCACGGCCCAAGACGTACTTGGAGCACTTGGAGTGCAGTCAGTAACCGCACATCCAGGGCCGGGGAGCGTTCACACTTTCCTTCCTCTGCATGTCCCGCCTGCAAGGATCAGGCTCTCTCAGTCCAAAGTCCTGCTCGCCTGCTCGGCCCTGCTAGAGCTCGCGTCCTGGCCATGGACACGCCAGCCTCTGCGCGTACGAAGCGCTCCTGGACGCCCCAACTTGCCCTCCTCCTGTTCGCGGCTCTCCTGCTTGTCGGGCGAGCCAGCGTCGGCGAGAGGGCAAGCGAGATGTATTGGGACACGTCAGAGATTTACGCAGACGAGCGAACCGATCGCAGCGTGAGGATGGCGTGTCATCCCATGTACGGTTGGCTGGAGAAGCCGCTGAACCTCATGGTCCACGATGTCGTCGACGACATCCCAAAGAAACCACGTCTCGCGAAGGTCCCGTTCGATGCAGTCATGAGAGTCGGAGTGGTGGAAACCGACATCACGGATCTCCAGATCAGAGACATCAAAATAGATGACGTTAGCTTTATAGATTGCAGAACGGTGAGAGACTTCGCTCCGATGCTGCCAAGGGCGCTCCCCAACGTCGTCAAGGTCCACGTGCACGGCATTCGCGTCACGGTCGATATGGCGTACGATTCGCGCGGCTTGTTGGGGTTTGGCGCAAGCGCTGGCAAGGCACGCTCCACCGTGAAAGGGGAGATGAAGCTCACCTTGGCCTTTCTCGCTTTCGACGACTGGCACGTGTCTTCCTGCGCGGGCAATTTCACGGTGGCAGACACACAGGTGATCGGCGAGGGCTTGGGCGAGCTTGCAGTGCCAGTGCCGAATGCGCTTCCCTTCGCCTCAATAATGTGCTACGGCCCTGGCGCGGTGATGGATTCCGGGCTGGTCGGCCTCACGCTGGAGGGAGCACAGGACACACGCTACGAGGGCAAGGAGGCAACCTTTCGTGGAGTCGTGCCGATGGTCAACGAGCGGCTGAGCCGGATCGCGCCCGCGGTCCGTGGGACAGCGCAAACCCTACACGTCGACCTGCGGGACTCGGTCCACGGGGTTGAGGACAAAATTCCTTGTCTTGGTCTCCTCCGCTCCTGCCATCCGCCACCTTCGCCGCCGGCGCCACCAGAGTGGTTGTGGCGCTGACAGCAGTAAACGCTCCACATGAAACGCTCACAGACACTGAAAAGCATGCTCAGAAGTCTCTCACACTATGTGTTGACTCTCTCAGTAAAGTGTAGGTGAGTCTAGAGGAGAGATGGGGAAAGGAGCTGTAGGCGGTTTCAGAGAGTTTGACTAGCTTTGAGTCAGTTTCATACTTTAATACGCCGTCACGTGTTCGCCCGGTCCCCGCTCGCGTCCAGCTTCTGCCGCGCGTCTGCGTGGCAGCGCTTGACACTGACGAGGTTCGTCTCGCTGACCACGAGCATCTTCACCGCCCCTCGGTGGGCGAGCCGACTCAGTTGCCAGTCAACATGCTCGGCGCCCGTGTACCTATCCACAAATTTGGCGGTGATCAGACCGCTCCCGACCTCCGCTCGACGGAAGGGTGGCGGCGGGTGCACCCCGAGTTGGCAAAGGCGTCAAGGAGGCGCCTGGCGCCGCGGCTTCCCCGCAGCACGTAGCAGCCCAGCCACACATTTGGCATCCGCGGCTCGCCTGAGGCGAGAGAGGAGGGGTCGTCACTTGAGGAAGCGTCTACCCGCGAGCGCACACGACGCACGGGCACGCGGCAGGGCCCTCCACGCCACCCCCGCATTGGCAGTGGCAGGGCCACCGGGCGCGAGCGGTGCGGCGTTGTTCAGCGCCGCGCACTTCTCGCCGCCCCGCGTCATGCTCTTGGGCGCGTGCTCTGGCCAGTGCTGCGAGCAGTACCGAGGGACCTGCCACTCGCTCCCCGCCCAATGCACTGCAGGGCTGCAACAAGCGCCCTGCTGCGCTGCGGCGGCTGCTCTGGCAGCCGTGGCAGCCGCCGCGGCGACCGCTGCCGACCGCAGCGAATGATCCCTCGCGGGCAGCAGCGCGCCACTTGGCTCCGAGGCACTCATCGGCCCGGAGCAGCACGCATCGCTCCCGCCGCCCTTGGGCTCCTGCTCTGCCGCGCCATCGGTCGGCGAGTGCTCGCAGCGCCGGCTCTCGAGGTCGGCGCGGTACCGCCTTTAGGGTCAGGCGAGTGGGGGGAGGGCGTTTGTCTCGGCCGCACCTCGGCTGGGCCGCGGTGCTTCTCGGTGCGTCTATCTGGCGCGTCTCGATGTGCCTTCGAGGGAGGGCCTCTCTCTCGCCTGCGCTGCAGCGGGCAAGCCGGGTCCACTGCAAGGACCTCGCAGAGGGGCGAAGAGAGCACGCTCGCTCCCACCGGCCGAAGCGCGTTCAGTAGGAGGACGTCCCAGCTCGAGCCGGCCAGCTGCGCCTGGAGGGCTCCGAAAAAGGTTGCAGGAGCAGTTCCGATCAGAGTGGTGTCCCACTCCTCAGCCGCGCCTATCGTGGTGCCCAGCAATCGTCCCAAAAGTTCGGAGTGGCCGCCCTCGAGCAGCTGCGCCAGGGTAGCGCCCAGCTGGCTTCGAAGCGCCGGTGTGATTCGCTCATCGTCCTCCAGACAGAGGACCGGCGCCTGCAGAGTGCATACGCTCCGGACTCATGTGGAATTGGGTGTGGGTCCAGGCACCGGTCTCGCTCCTCCGTGCCCGAAGCGGCGACGCGCTCCCACAGCGTCAGGTGCGCGAGTGCACAGCCCAGCCGCCCGCGCAGCGGTGGAGACGCACGGCTCGGCGCGATAAGACCTTGCTTGACCGCCGCACGCCTGACGCGCTCGTCGGCCAGCACGCCTACGGCGCGGGCAGCCGACGGCTGGCCAGGCTGACATGAGCAGTCTCGTCCGAACGCTGTGGGAGTAGGAAATCTGCACCGCTCACCTGGATGGCGGCGGAACGGGGCAGATATGGTGCGCATGTGCGCTGCAAAGCCCTCGAGCTTTGCCGGCTCGCAGTCGAGGCTGATGACGAAAGCCTCCGGCCAATCTTCCGTCGCGGGACTGCGAGGCGGCATCTCACACGGTCTTTTGTGAACTCCCGCCAACTTTGCGTGCGTCCGGAAACGACCTTCATGGCAGCCGTGAGCCGTGGCTCGCGAAGCCACGCTCTGCGGCCGCCACCTGCCCGCACGGTCCGCCAGTCACGCGCCAGAGCGGGCCTTGGGCCTCGTTCGGGCACCACCGCTGACGGCGGCCGCTGCCCTTGGGACGCGGCAGCGACCGACTATACCGCCATCAAGCGGGAGCTGACGCACAATGTGGCGCGGAGGGGCGCAAAGCCGGTGTGGTCATCGTCGGTGGAAGTGCTGGAATACGTGTGTGTTGATCAGGAGACCATCATCTCGCATGACCCACGCCGCTTCCGCGAGGTCGGCCGCGGCGTCATGGCGGAGCCGCATGACCTGCCCGCCATCGACTACGCCGACATGACGTACTGGTTCCGGCCCGGCTCACAGCGCGCGGCGCACGAAGCGCTCGGCGAGGACTCTCCCTACTCGCGCGGCGGCCCGAGGGAGCCGCTGAGCGAGCTGGTGATTGGCCGCAAGCTCAACGGCTGGCCCGGCCCGGAGCTGCGGTTGGCCTCGCCCAGGGAGGCGCTCGAGGAGGTGGTAGCCGGGGTCACTGTTCTCGAGCCTCAGCCTCACTCTAGCAGCACCGAGCCGCGATCTTGTAACCTCACCCTCCATTCTTCCATTCTTGGCGCGAGGTGCTCGCGGCGCCCAACTTTTCTCACTGCACGGTGCCGATCGTGATCTCGACGGTGTGGCCGCACATCCTCGCCGAGTTCTTCACGCGCGTGCCGCCCGCGCTGGACTACTTCCAGCGGCGGGGCGTGCTCTCACCAAACATGACTATTGCACTCGCCAGTCCGCTCAAGCTCGAGCCGGTAGCGCCTCCATCGTCGCGGCCCGCCACGGCCCTATAGCGCCCACTACGGCGGTTGTGCTTCAGGCGCGCTTCAATTACGACATCCTCCGCGCTTTCTCCTCGCTCGAGCCAATCTCCTTTGCCACCCTCTCTGCTCGGCTGCCGCCAGATACGCCCTCCCGGAGCACGCACGAGGGACGGCACACCCGCTGCTTCCGGCACCTGCTTGTGTGGAAGGCCAACCAGGACAACTTCCGCTGGAGCCTCCCTACCATCGGGAAGGCGGTGCTGCAGCACTACCTCCCGGCCGTGGAGCGGCTGTCGCCCTTTTGGCGGAGCGAGCGCAGCGACGTGATGCGCGTGCTGGTCGAGGAGCGAGCGCCGAGCGCTGGCGCTGGCCTCCCGACGCGCAGCCTGCTTGGGGTGGGCGCCCTTCTCACCGAGTGCGCCTCGGCGCGACACCCCTTTGGGGGGAGCAGCTGGCGCCGGCGGCACAGTCTAGGGCAGGTGCCGCGCGCTGACGAGTGGCGCAGCGGTGGGGGCGGCCGGCCGGCGGCTGTCGAGTGCCGTTCGCACAGCCTTGGCGCGACGTCCTTCGCACAAGACCTCGTGGCACTACGCTCCACGGACGTGCTCGTCTTGACGCACGGCAGCGCCGAGATGAACGCCGTCTTCATGCCGTATCACTCCTCGCTGGTCGAGGTGCGCGGCCTCAACGCCGACAATTACTACGCGAATCGGTGGCACCCGCAAATCTCCCTTGCCTCTAGTTTTGGGTACCTGTGGTGGGGCTTGCTCGTGCAGGACCCGGGCCTGGCGCAACCCTCGCGACTTGAGACGGAGGGCGGTCTATACAACGATTCGGACTGGCGGAGCATCGCGTATCGCAAACGCGACCAGGACGTGCGCCTCCTCTGGCGCCACCTACACGTCGTGCTCACAGAGGTGGCGCGGGTCGGCCGCAGCAAGGAGCAATATGCGGCGCTGTTTGGGCGCGGCCTCGAGCACCACTTCGCCACCACCGCCTTTGAGGCCCTTCCGAGCGGCCTCGTGCGCCGCCACCGTGGGCTCGCCAAGGGTGCGATAAGGGAGCGCCCGGGCGCGATCGAGGAGCGGCTCTCTCAACAGTCAGGCGAGGCCGAGGGAGAGGCCTTGCGGCGGGCTCTAGAGGTCTCGGAGCTGTGGCCAATCGCGGAGGTGAATGCGAGCTTGGAGGGGAGAGCAAGCAGGGATAGGACTTAGAGCCATGGGGCAGGCCCTGTAGAGCGTCCGGATGTCGGTGCCTGTCTTGTGTGAAGTAAACATGAAAACCAAGAGGATAACCCCCCGCCCACAAGAAGAAAAAGATCCCCGCCCCAGCACACACGCGCAGCACGCTGCACACAAAGATCGCACGGGCGGGGACTTGGCTCCTTTTTCTTAACCTCCTAGTAGTACGGAGTCGTGAGCGGGCGTGCCGGCTCGCACTGTCCAATCGCGCAAATACCTACGAACGACATCCTTAACGCAACCAACCACCCCCGTCCCTCACACGTATCAAGAGGGAAACTGAGAAAATTTCGCACGTCAGCGCGTCTTGTACAGGGCCTCAATGGCCACCGATGTGTCCAGCCCGTTCTGCGCCGTCGGCGGATCCGCTTGCCCTCCCCGGAGGCAAGCTGCAGCGCAAGCTAGCACGAGCGTGCCGCGGCCGATCGTCCCACGCCGCTCCCCAGGCGGCATCAGGGTCGCCAGCGAGGAGAGTGGCCCCTCCTAAGAGAGGATACGAGTTCGCTCAGAGGGGGGATGGGTGGCGCCAAGCTAGTTTTGTTCTCACCGTGCAGATGCGAACGAGATCGAGGTCGACGCGGACGCTCTCCTCGGGAGGGAAGCAGGCGGCCTGGGTTGGCGACATAGCCGTGAGTGGAACCACCACGCGCCGGCGGCCGCCGACGTTCATCCCGCTCAGAAGCTCGTCCCAGATCCAGATCTGCGAGGGTCGGCGAACGTGTGGAACCACACGGTGTGTGGAAGGTTGGTGCAGAGCTATGCTTCCGTCTGGGATGGCATGCAACATGCAATGCGCTGCTATTGGCCGCCTTGGTATCGGCGCCAAAGGCGATCAGCAGGGGAGCGCCGCCGCGGGAGGTGCGGACGAGGTCGCCCTTGTGTAGCAGCGTCATGTCATAATGCACTGCCGCCACCTGCAGCCGCTCCAGTGCCGCACCATTCCCGATCCTCTCATCCACAAACTTGGCTCCGCTGTTAGTCGTTGACCAGGCGTTTGGAGAGAGAGCTGCGACGGGCGAGGGGCGGCGAGTCGCCGGCGGCGGACGCCTGCCTGCAGCGCGAGTTGAAGAAGACCCCGACAGCAGGAAAGCGGAGGTTTCGGTGACCAGCGATGCCAGCGCGACAAGTAAAAGAGCCGGCATACTCGGTCGGCGATGATGAAGGGACAAGCGCGGGATTCCTAATCAAGGAACGGAAACCACCCCTCCGCCGTCCTCCTCTCTGCCGCCTCCGTCTCCGCCGACCTCACCTCCACCGCCCTTCCCTCTGCTGCTCCCCTCTCCGCCACGCCCGTCTCTGCCGCCCTCGTCTCCGCCGCCCCCCCTCCGCGGTCTCCCTACTCTCACTCCGGGGTGTCTGGTGTTTACTAGCTCCGACCGAGTAGAGGGGGCGTTCTGCTGCTAGGGGAAACCCGGAGCGCGGAGCCAACCCTCGGAGACCCGTGTTTACTTTGGCCCTTTCCCTGCGAACGCGCACCCCCCAGGGCTAGGGCTCTCTAGCCCGTAACCAGATACCGATCATCCGGCCCGCTGGGTGCGCTCCTTAGCTCCCCGGCCCTGGATGTGAGGTTAATGACTGCACTCCAAGTGCTCCAAGGAACGCACGCACCGCTCAGAGTAGTCCTCTGCTTGTGTGGCCCCGCTTAAGAATGGGTAATGCGAAGCTCCTTCCACCTGCCTGCCGATCTGGCGGGAGGAGTGCACGAGGTGTGTGGAGCCTGCGCTAGCTAGCCGCAGCACCAAGGCAGTGGGTGGTCCAGCCTGGCTGTTCTTCTCACCTTCGATACTCCAGTAGCCGGGGTGTTAGGTATGTTCGGGGTGATATTTGTCAGGCGCAGGTGCGGGCGGTGTCGCGCGCCCCGTCTCGCTGTCGGGCGAGGGCTCGCCGGCGGCGCGACGCGCGTCGGGCTCGTCGGCGTCGGCGGCGGCGGCAGTGGCAACATCCTCGGCCTGCGAGTCGCGAGGGCGGCCTGCATCGGCGGCGGCACGACTCGAGCGGCGCGCCGCCAGCCAAACCGCGAATTCGTGTGGGCGATGTCGCTGTCGTCGGGCGGCCGTGGTCGAACCTCGACTCGAGGAGGTGCATGAAGGCCTCCATCTCGGGCGCGGTCACGTCGTCGGGCGCGTCGACGGGCTGCAAGGCCATGGTCCGCCCGGCGGCGGGGCGGCTGCGCCAGGACTGGCGCGTCGCTGCCGATGAACGGCAACCGAAGCAAAAAGGGCTGGACGACGGCAAGCCCAGCTGCATCTCGCGCCGGGACGGCGACCGGCGGGCGGTCAAGCAGGGCGGTCAAGCACGACCTCGAGGGCCGGGCCGTTACTTCCCCACCTGCACGAGCAGGATTTTGAAAGGACGATCAGGGGGACAGGTGGGCTCTCCTGCTCCTGACAAGGGACACGACAGGCTCACAGCGCGGTGCACGGTGGGCTCCCAACTCCACTGGCGGTCTCATCTCAGTCTAGCGACCTGCCTCCAGCTTTTCGCTGGCAGTCTCTCACTACCACAGGCACACTGACACAGGGGTGGCAGGGGCGGCGGCACGAGTCTCCCACATACTATGCGGGCCTCACTAGAGGTGCGGCCTGCGCGTGTCCTCGCCCTTGGGAAGGTCTTGAGGGGGGAGGGGAAGGGGCTGTGTGTCTGTGCATGCATGTGTGTGTGTGTGTGTGTGTGTGTGTGTGTGTGTGTGTGTGTGTGCGTGTGCGAGCCGCCCTGAACGCCACGAGCGCAAGCGGAGGTACATCAGGAGCCGCAGCCGGCCTGCTCTATCAACCCCGCAGCCGCGGTGGCGCGACCGGACCGCGGTTCGCTCCAGGCGCCTTTTGGCCCCGGTTCGAATCGTGGTTGGCGCGCCTTGCGGAGCGACGCGTGCGTGGCTTGCTTGGGATGTAGCGCGTGGGGGTGAGGCGCGCGACGCGCGCGCGTGCGCGCCCAGCCGAGCCGTAGGCCGTAGGCCGTCTGCCGTCTGCCGTCTGCCGTCTCGGCCGTCGGCCGTCGGCCGTCGGCCGTCGCGGCGTTATGACCGCGCAAGACAAAGGGTGGCTAAGGGCTCTGCCCGCAAGGCGCCCGCGTCGCCGACGCGGTACCATTGACTAATCCCGGAATACACACCCACACGACCAAATAGCGAAAATCCGAATACCGTGCAAAAACCACGGAATGCCTCAGCCGAAGAACGTCGTAACAAGTTTGGCTAACTCCATAACATGGGCGATCCGGCGCTTCCTTCGATTGGACGGACGAAATGAGCGCGGAAAAGCGGGACCGCCATCGCGACATCGGGGGCTCACCATATGCCGAGCCTGCTCGGCCTGCCATGTGCGCGCGCGCCTCTCCCGGGCGCGCATCTGAACTCGTACCTGGTAGGCCATCGCTTTGCTGAAGGATCAGGCGCCTGAATGGCGACAGTGAGCGTCTCCTACTTATGGATTGCGCTCAAGGTACGGGACCGCAAGAGCGCGCCGCAGGCGAAGCGATTTTTTTTGGCGGCAGGGCTGTTCCAATCTTGTGATCACGCGCGAGCCTGTGAATAGGCCCCGGAGGCCTCAACCCCCAACTAAAGGGTTGACGGGGGGTCTCAACCGTCAACCAGATGGTTGAGGGGGGGCCTCAACCCTCAACCCGTCAACCACCCCTCTGAGCAGATTAGATCGCAAAATTCTTTTCCCCCTCTCTCGAGCAGCGTCGGGCCGAGCACTCGGAGCACTCGGAGGTTCGCTCGAAGCGATGTTGAGGCTCTCGCTGACGCTCTTCGTGCTCCAGCTCCTACTCGGAAGCTCAGCGCTGCGGCTGAGCTCCGCTCCCAGCAGCCGTCGCACCGCACTCAGCCAAGCCGCGGCGGCGGCGGCTGCCAGCACAGCGTTTGCGCATGCCGCTTGGGCCGAGCCGCCCCCGGCTGAGGCGGTGCGCCCACACACTTCCCCGGCGTGAATGAGCGTCCTCGATACAGATCCCGCTCGTGTCGCATCTCACCAGGTACGGGGCCACCTCTCCGAGCTGAAAGCGCTGCTCGCAGATAAGGAGAACTTCGTGACCGCTCTGAGCGACGGCGCGCCCTACAAGCTCCCGGCGCAGATCCCGTTCACCACCTTCCAAAAGCTCGAAAAGACTAGCGATCCCGAGTTCATGGAGGCGGCTATCGACTACGCTGAGGCAAGAGCGAGGAGAGAGACCGCCAAGCGGCCGCAGCGGCCGAAAGAATGCTAGCCTAGCTTCATCTAGGCGTACCGCGGGGTGAAGGACCTCGTGAAGCTGGCGCGGCTGACCAAGCAGACGGTCGCCGTCAGCACCAAGGAGCCTGGCAAGCCGCGCAAGGAGACGCAGGTGTGTGGGACATCTGCCTCAAGACCGCCGAGACCTCTAGGTTTGAACAGCGTTCCTTTGAACGATCTCGGTGTCGAAACACCGCTCTGACAGCGCTCGACAGTCGTCGCCCTCCTGCTGCGGCCGTCTGGAGCCGAGCCCTCGCCTGCAGGTGAGATACGGCGACGTGCCCGACTCGGGCCTCGCGACCGCCAAGGAATACGCGGAGCGAGCGGCTGACGAGATCCTAGGCGCGACAGGAGCTCGTGAGGTCGGTCTGGTGGCAGGCCAAACGAGGCCTTGCTTTTGCTCTAGGCGCGAGCGTCGCCCTCGACGCGGCGGTCAAGTACATGGGCACCGCCAAGTGAGGGGGAGGTGCTTCAGCGCGGTTGCACGCCCCGCGCGGCTGCTTAGAGGTGTCTCTAACCGTGGCCCGCTCGTTGCACGTCGTACTACCACACTGAGAGCGCATCTCAGCGCAGAGCCCTCTCAGTCTCATACAGGGACGGGTCCGCGGAAAGTTTCTAGCTCCTAAACTCCTACGGCTTTACCTTCGGCCTACCCGAACGTCTTTTTCAGTGTCAGGGGCGGAGGTGTGGACAAACCAGATATCCCACTATGTTATATCATAGGATATAACATACTGAGATACCAGGCTCTTCCCTGGCATATCAGCTATCAAGAAACCGTCGGACTTCTAGGAGGAGGAGCTCTGTGTTCTGCTTTTTCGACAAATCCCACAGAAAACATCCGGGCCATGGGAATATCGGTCCAGACACTCTGGGTTCTGGTTTTTCGAGGTGTGAACGATCTCCCCGTGGAGGGGTCATTCCGGCGGAATGACCCTTCATTAACTAATCGGATTCCGAATGGGTCGAACGGGAGTACTAAGACAGCAGCATGTTCTGGGTGGGAGGAACCCTTTGGGGGGAACCGTTTTATCGCTCCAGGCATTATGGTTTCTGGTTTCTGGTTTCTGCTCCGAAAGCGAGGTTGGCGGCGCGCCGCGCTGCCACGCACTTTTGTGGCTCACGGGAGGGAGGCCTGCGATGCGGTCGAGTCCGCCAGGCTGCCGCGATCCCGAGCGGAAACGCCGTGGCAGCCAACATGGCTGCCTCGTGCATCGGACGCCGACCGGCGGGGCCGTTGCTTGTCATGCCCAAGCCCTGAAAGGCTGAGCTGTGAAAGGCAGGCGTTGTGCGAGTGTTTTGAGTACCTATCGCCTATCAATAGAGTGTTTGGATCTACTCTGTTGGAGACAGAAAGAAGCTCTATCACAACGTCGGCGGAGCGGCCAATGCGCGCGGCGATCTTGAGGGCACCACCAGGAGCTGGCAAGGCCTCATCGCACGCTACCACACGTGCCGATCCGTGCCGAGAATTGCCCGCACCCGGCGTTGACAACCTCAGCTTAACACTCATCACCAGTCGCGACCAATCGGAGCAGAAACCAGAAACCAGAACGCAGATCCCGTTCCGTTTTCGCGGTTCCCATTTGAAAAAAAAATCGGAGGGGGTACACCTGTTCATTGGCCGGAATGAGCTCATTAGGACGAAGCGGGAGATGTCTTCACACCGCAGAAACCAGACCCACAGGCAGATCCCACGGGAAATCGAGGCGGGTGTCCCAGAAAACAGATCCCAGAAAAAACAGAGCGCGCCGCAGAAACCGACCGACCCCTGGGTTTTCGGCTATGGGAAACCGCCATGGGAAACCGCAGCAGAAACCCTATGGGAAACCGACGTCTGGTATCTGCTTTGTCCACGAATGCAGGGGCGTCTTATTGCTCTGTGTGTTGATAATGATGTGTACGTACGGCTTTAATAATTCGTCACACGCACGCGGCCCCAGTACGCCACACGCGCGCTGTGTTACCGCTTATTTTGTGTCGCCCCGCGTTCATGCGTATCCGACTTAAACTCGTAACCGGTTGCATTGGACTCTGCGGTAGGTAGACATTCTACCTCCCATCCAACCCACCGAAACCCGTGTGGATGGGTTTTACCGCCGCCTTTTACCATCCATAGCCGTCGGGTTTTACCTCGCGTTCTCTTGGTGTCGTCTATGGTTTGCTAGACCCATGAGACCATCCTCACCGCGCTATCGGGCGCCTCCACCGCCGCCCTCAGCCACGCCGCTACGACCGTCGGAGGCGTCAACTCCGCCGTCACATGGTATCAGCTCTGATCGCGGTCCAGCGCCAGCCCAACACGCCAATCCGCCCGCAGGCTCAGCGCCTGCCATGCGGCCGCCGCCACCAGTGCTGCGGCCGCCACCGCAGCAGCTGCCGCCACTGCCCACCGGCCCGCCACCAGGGACGACTGGGCACGAGCCACCCGTCGGGCACGTGCCGCCCGCCGGCTCCTACGCATCACCATCGCAATGTGGTGCGGCATCGCACAGCCAATGCGCAATGCCGATGCAGCCGGTCCCGCCGGCCCAGCAACTGCATATGCATGGCGGGTGTGGAGCCCCACAGCCCTTCTTCAGCCAGCCCTTCTGCGCCAGCGCCGGCCAGCTGTGCTCGCAGCCCGCTATGTATTCGCCGCAGCAACAGTACGGCATGCCGCAGCAGTGCATAATGGACCCGGCATTGCCCCCCTTCATGCAGGGCATGGCTCAGCCAGGAGGCTCCATCCACCCTGCCCAGTGGGAGCAGCAGGCCTACTGCTACCCGCAACCCGCCGGTGCATACGGCGCCATCCCGCCCCTCTGCGGAGGCGCAGGCACGTACCCGTCTCAGGCCTGGATGCCACCAGCAGCGCCACAGCCGCCGCCCGCGCCAGCACCGCCTCCAGCGCCTACGCCTGGTGCCGGCGCCGCGCCCCCACATGCCGCCGGCTCCGCCCCTGCCAATGTCACCGTCGATGAACTACGGACGCTCCTCACGCACCTGTCTCCACAAGGCCGCCGGCAGCCCCGCCTCAGCCGAGTGCCTCCGCGCCCTCTCCCCGCATGCCGCCGGCGCCCCAATGCCAGCCGAGTGCCTCAAGGCGACGCAGCGCCTCGTCGACGTCGTCACGCCGCTCGGCGTGAAGCAGATCTTCCGCGTACCCGCCAACAAGAAGGAGCTGCGCGAATCGCCCGAGCGGACGCAATGGGAGGCCGCCGACCGCAAGGCCCTCGACTGCATCCTCCGTGTCCCCGGCAACCGCCTCGTGCCCGTCACCGTCCCCGCGGCCGCGGGCGTGCCAATCCAGCGCTGCGTCACAGCGCGCAAGATCAAGATCGACCAGGCGACCGGAGGCCTCGACCAACACGACCCGTTCAAGTCACGGCACTCCGCCGACGGCGGCTTCGCCAAGGTCCAACGCGCCCGCGCCGGCCTACCACCGTCGGGCGTCCCGGCTACCTCTACCGTTGTCGACGACTTGACCGCCAAGCTGTTCGTCGGACACGCCGCCGCCGTCGATGCCCACCTGACCAAGGGAGACGTCGGGAACGCCTATGTCAAGGGCAAGCGACAGGGGCCCGTCGGCTACATGGCGCTCCCGTCCACGCTACCCATGACCGACGAGGACGGGACCGAGCTGTGCATCGAGCTCTGTTCACCTCTCTGGGGCGAGGAGTGCGCTGGCTACGAATGGGAGTGCACGTTCAATGACACCATCAAAGGCCTAGGGTGGGTGCCGTGCCCGGGTGTCCCCGCGATGTTCTCGTTCCATGGGGAGCACGGAGAGGCCCGCATGATCACGATCGTCGACGACTTCCTCATCTCCGAGGTGAACGGCACCACCATCACCGACGCCACCATCGCCGCGCTGAAGGCCGCTTTCAACGACGAGGTCAAGGTCGACTACTCGCCCACCTCCTTCGCCGGCTTCAAGCTCGAGCGCGACCGCGAGCGGCGCACCCTCACGCTGTCCATGCCGCAGAAGATCATCGAGGCCGCACGCGAGCACATGCCCGAGCTCCTCCGCGGCGAGCGTCCGACCGTCCTCAGCGGCAAGCGCCTCGCCGACGCCGCCGACTCGCTCAAGCTCGCCGACCGCGACGGCAAGCTGTCGCCCCAGCAAGTGCGCACACAGAGCATCATCGGCCACCTCAAATTCGTCGAGCGCGTGCAGCCGCGACTCTCCCTCGTCCTCCACCGCCTCTCGTGCGTCATGTCGGCGCCGCCGCCCGAGGCCTACGAGGTAGCGCGCGCCGCGCTCTGCACCGCCTACGACCGCAAGCACGACGGCATCACGTACGGCGGGCTAGACGCGGAGGCCGAGTTGCAGGGCCGCATGAGCGCGCACATCGCCGGGCTCGACTCGCACGCGCCCACCGAGCTCGTCGCCGCCGCCGACGCCACCTGGAACGGCGACCTCGACCTCTATGGCATGCTGCTCACCTGCTTTGGCGCTGCCGTCATGCACAGCGTCAAGAAGATCGGCCTCGTCGTCGACTCCTCACACGAGAGCGAGGCCATCGCCAGCGCCAAAGCGGGCGAGCTCGTCGCATACGCCCGCGAGGTCCTCGTCGCCCTCGGCGCCCCGCCGACCGGACCGACCGTCATCCTCTCGGACAACAAGGCAAACGTCCTCGTCGCCAACAACGCCAAATCCGCCTCGCGCTCGCGCCACTTCCTGCGCCGCTACCACACGCTGCAGCGCCGCATGGCCGACGGCGAGTGCCGCGTCGTCAAGATCACCGACGACCTCATGCCCGCCGATTTCTTGACGAAATGGGTCCCCAAGGAGAAGCTCAAGCGCAGCGTCGACCACGCCTCCAACGCGCGAGCTCGCGCGGTGCATGGGGGGAACTGATCAATGCCGCCTCTGCGGGCCGATCCCGCCCAGCGACATTGGGGGGGGTGCGGTAGGTAGACATTCTACCTCCCATCCAACCCACCGAAACCCGTGTGGATGGGTTTTACCGCCGCCTTTTACCATCCATAGCCGTCGGGTTTTACCTCGCGTTCTCTTGGTGTCGTCTATGGTTTGCTAGACCCATGAGACCATCCTCACCGCGCTATCGGGCGCCTCCACCGCCGCCCTCAGCCACGCCGCTACGACCGTCGGAGGCGTCAACTCCGCCGTCACAGACTCACACAGCACGATACTCGTGCGACTGCGTACAGGACTCGCACCCCCGCGCTCTCCCTTGAACTCCACGCGAGGGGCCGTCGTCGCCCCGTCGCGCGCGCGAGGCGGGTTGCCGCGCGGGGGAGGCGGGGTGCGCGCGAGGCCGAGAGCGAGCCGCTGTGTCGGCTCTCCCTCTCTATTGATGTGTGTACTCTGGCGGGTCCGCCTCACTCGAGCTCCTCCTCCTGCCCGCCCTCGCCCTCGCCCTCCTCGTCGTCGTCGCCGTCGGCGTAGATGTTCTCCGCCACCTGCCACACCTGGATGATGTTGTCCTCCGCCACAGACGCCACGACCCACTCGTCGTTTGCGTTCCACGAAAAGTCGGCCACCTTCGCAGTGTGGCCGCCGTGCACGAAGAGCAGCTCGGGCGGCCCGTCCTCGGCGTCCTCCGCGTCCTGCTCCTCGCCGATGCGCGAGAGGTCCCACAAGTGCAGCCGCCGGTCGAGCGAAGCAGAGGCGAGGATCGTCTCGTTGAAGGGGCTCCACCCGACCTGGCGACACCAAGGAAGCAGCCCGTCATGAGAGAAGAAGCTGCTGAGCCGGCGGCAGGGCTGGAGGTGTGGCCTGGTAGACGTCCTCTGTGTGCCCCTCAAAGGAGTGCAGCTTCGACTTGAGCGATCGCAGGTCCCAGAGGGCAACCGTCTTGTCGGCGGAGCCGGTGGCGAGCAGGTACCTACGAATGAGTGGTCGGGCGGTTGGGTGGGTGGGTGGGTGGGTGGAGCCCCGGTGGCGAGGAGGAGGCACTCGGAAAAGGGGTTGAAGGCGAGGCAGTTGATCTCCTTGGAGTGCGCGTCGACAGAGTGCTTCGGCTTGGCGGTCGAGTTGTCGCGTTCGTCCCAGATCATCAGCTTGCAGTCGTCCCCCACCGAGCCGAAGATCTGAGCGTGGTGCAGGTGGTGCGCCACGTCCTCGACGACGGCGGTGTGGCCGGTGTACGTGTTGAGCGGCTGCAGCGTGTGCCCCGCCTTGGAGCCCTGCGCGATGTCCCAGGTGCAGATGAGGCAGTCGTCCGAGCCGGAGAGGAGGCGGCCCTGCGTGTGCGGCGACCAAGCGAGCCCGTACCCCTCCTTGGAGTGACCCTTGAGCACGAGGTCGGGGGCAAAGGTGCCGTCGGGCGCAGGGCGGGAGGAGTGCTTCGACCAGTCGAAGACGTAGACGTCGGCGGAGGGCGACTTGGTCGCGATGAGGTACGGGTTCTGCGGGCGAGCCGGGCGGGCGGGTGGGGCGGCGGCCGGGCGAGTGGAGGGGTGAGGGCGGGCGAGGGAGAGAGAGCGTGCAGGCGCGAGCACCTGCGGCATGTAGCGCGCTCGGTTCACCTCGCCCTCGTGGTTGATCTTTTGTGTGATCTCGATCTTGGCCTGGGGAGGGGGGCGGAGGTGAGGGCCGGTGGAGAGACGGCAGCAGGGGACGGGCAAGGGGAGCAGCAGGTGCGGAGGGGAGCAGAGTCCGCCGGAGAGGCGGGCGGGAGAGGGGGAAGGAGAAGGGGGAAGGAGAAGGGAGGGGGAGGGAGGAGGGGGGAGGGGGGGAGGGGGGGAAGGGGGGAGGGGGGGAGGGGGGGAGAGCAGGACGAGCGGTGTCAAGCGGAGAGGGGTCGGGGGATCGGGGGCGACGGCGGCAGCGGCGGGT